AACACAATACACAAGAACATAAATATTTATACAAATAATTATTTCTATATTATAATAAATATCGTATTTTTAGGTTTGACTGAAAAACAAAAGGGATATGTTTTGATAGAAACGGAAAACTTGATAAAATTGCGCTCAGAATATGTCATTCAATATTATTACTCATGGATTGAAAACAACACTTTATATATTCTTATGGATTGTTTGGCCGGATGTTTAACAGAAGTTTTAGAATATAAGAGACAATTATTTGGGAAATTTATGTCTGATTTTGAATATTATATATCATATGAAATATTCAAACAATTGGTCGAAAGTGTGGAATATTTGCATATAAATAATATCATTCACAGAGACCTCAAACCCGATAATGTATTGATTAATAATAAATTATATAAAGGCAAAGTAATCCATAGATATATAAAATTATGTGACTTCGGTTTGTCTAAATCCGTGGATGTATTGAGTGATGGATACAAACAAAGTAGTGTTAAACACACCGAAGATGTGGGAAGTGTTGACTATCAGTCACCGGAAGCGCAAACTACTGAATACAACCATTTAATAGATGTCTATAGTCTGGCACTCATTGGGGCACAAATTTTTCGTATAAATATAAAAGATATTGAAAACGGAAAGTAAGTTATTATAAAAATTAATCATGATTTGATTTCTATTATATTTTAGATTGGATCTTAATTTGCAAAACAATTATAATATAAATGTAAAAAATAATTTAATAAAAATAAACCAATTATTGGTTGAAATGAGTGCTAATAAGTGGTCAACAAATGAAAAGACTGATTGGAGACAAAGACCCGAATGTGATATAATTTTAGATAAATTAAAACATTTATCGATTGAACCGATTATTGAGAAATTTGATTATTTGTTCAACGATTTAAGCAAAAATAAATTCACAATATTTTCAGATTATTTTTGTAAATTATTTGAAGATTGTGTGATTTGTCAAACATGCGATAAAAATAATAGTAAATCAATTTATAGCCACTTTACTAATACTTACAAATTTATAATTAATGTTTATTTATTATAGAATTTATCGAAGCTTTCAAATGGCATAGGAATAAGTTTTGTCAATATGTTGGCAATTTGGCAAAAATACGAATTATCAAAACCAACAAGATTTCTTATGTAAGCAAATTTAAACAACAAAGTAAGTTTTTCGCATATTACATAAGACTAAATCGTCTAAACGTGTTTTGCCTATTAAAATGTTGTAACCTTTTTTATGTAAAATGTTGCATGTGTCTGATTCAACTTGTATGGTTTTAAGCGCGTAATTTCAAAAATTAAAAAATATATATATAAAATTATGAAATATTTTTGTTTATACAATTAATCATAATTACAAATGCTTTAATCAAGCATGGTTATTCGTATAAATATTCTGTTATTTGTCACATAATATTCATTTAAATATTTAAATTTAATAAGATGTACAATATTTTTTTTAATTTTAATAATAGATTACTATGATATGAAGAGAATTGTGGACAATGTTAGAAAAATATTTGCATTAAAGCTAAAATATTTGCTTCAAATTTATAACTCTTGGATAGAAAACAATGAGATTTACATTGAAATGGAGTTTTGTTCGCAAACTCTATGGGATGTCATAAATGCAAAACACGTGATATTTGGAACACAAACCCATCACTCGTTGGCAATGATTTCAATTGATTTTCTTATTTCACAGCAATTATTGAGACAATTATTACATTGTATTCAAGCAATAATTGCTTTAAATATAAATATCGAAAGCATTTCACTCAATACTAAAGAAATATTTATTTCAAATGATAATATAAAAGATGAATTTAATATAAAATTTTGTTTATTTAAGTATGAATATATTGATTGTGATGAAATATATTCTACAATTATTAAAAATAATGATATTAAACAAATTGGGAAAATTGCTCACAATATATTTAACATCCAGATAAATAATTTTAAAAAGATTGATTATAAATCATATATTTTTAAAAGATTTTGTGTAAATATCTGCCAAATCACAGCATTTATTAATGGATTACTTAACGGATCAGAAGATAGAGATATTTCTGATATAATCAATGAATTTAATAATATTTTTGGTGAAAATGCAAACAAAATAAACGCTAATATAATCTCACTAATGGAAAAATTATTTCTGTGGCGAATCCCTATATTTAATGCAAAATTAATTAAATATAAATTTATTTATGATTATTTCGAACAAATACTTGGCCCACAGTATCGGTTGCCGGTAAAACTAAAATAAAATAATATGTTTAAAAACTATTTTTAATTAATTTGTTTGTTTTTTAGATACTGAACCAATTGAATGCCGAGTTAATGGAAAGTAATTATAAGCAAGATTTAGAAATGTTTGAAACAACCAAGCAAATTTATTTAAATCTTGATCTTTTCTCTGCTGATTATCACAATCATCAAGAAATTAGTTCCCAAAGCCTTTTGAATGTCATAAATGCAAAACACGTGATATTTGGGACACAAACACATCACTCGTTGGCAATGATTTCAATTGATTTTCTTATTTCACAGCAAATGTTGAGACAATTATTACGTTGTATTCGTAAAATGACTAAATTGGATAAAAATCTAACAAACAATTCACTCATCACAAAAGATATTATCATTATTAACAAAAATATACTAAGTAAATATTACATGAGAATATTATGCAAATCTAACAATAGTGAATATTGCTCAATAATTCTAAATCACACCAAATTGTGTCAAATGGGAGATATTATCAACAATTTGTTTGAAATTCAATTACGGTAATAAATATTAAATTTAAATAATACTTTAAAAAATTTAAAAACTATCTAGATTTATTATAATATTTTAAATTTATTAAATATGATTTAACTTCTATAGAAATGTCGATAAGAATATTGATTATAAATCATATATTATGGATACTTTTGGCGTAAATGTGGATAAAATCCAAGCATTTATTAATGGATTACTCGAGGGATCAGAAGAGAGAACACGAGATATAAAGGATATAATGAATGAATTCAATGAGATTTTTGGTAAAAATTATATGAATAAACTAAATGTTTATATTTATTATTTACGTATATTACAAATGAAAAGTGTTATATTATCACAAATGCCAAAATCTTTGTCAATTAATTATAGCTTTATTTACTTTTATTTTAAAGAATTACTTGCACCAGAAAACAATAAATGAACTTAATCATTATAAATAATAAACACTGATTTAATTTATTATGCTAATATATTATAATAGATTTTTATAAATTATACTTAAAAATTTGGTTAATATTTAACACAAAATCAATTTAATATATATATATATATATATTTTAAACAAATAATTGAAAACTAGGAGGGGGTAGCCGAACGATCCTATAAACCACATTATTCTTATCAGAATAGTGATTAAAAATGATATTTTTGGCAAAATATCTAAGTATTTTATTTTTCCACACTTTAAACATATTTTTCTATAAAAATCATTACTAGCTCAAATAAACTAAAATCAACGTAATACTGATAAAAAATTTAGAGTTGGTATTTATAAGTAAATCTGAATATTTTAAATGAATACTATCATGATAACTGTAGAAATAATGAATTATTTGTGTGTTTTATTATAATTGTTGCATAGAACAATATTTTAACCCTTTTTATATCAAAATATTAACAATTTTTGTGATTGTATTACCACATATAATTACATATTTTTAGAATTATTACTACATATTATATTACATATTTTTGGCCTTATTACTGTATATGTGAACTCTTTAGTTATTATTGAATGTATTTTACATGTATTACATTTAGTAAATTTACATACAGAACATGTATTTTATAATTACCTTTATTATCATAGTGTAAGGATGGGCATAATTTGAGCATTTTATAGAAATTATTAATACACATATAAATATTAATGTTTAGTCAAACATACTGTTAAAACAACTAACACAAAATAAAATGTTAGTGAAAAAAGTAAATTAAATCACTATATACTAAATTGTTTAGAAAAAAATGTTCATTTCGGCCATAACTCAAAAAGTAATCAAGATAATTTGATTCTGTCTTCAGATTATAATAACACTCGCCCATGTCCACATCTCATATAAATTTTATTTAAATTTATTAACATTAAAAGTATTTATTTTTTTAAAAAAACTGAGAAAAAAATTGTTCNTCCACATCTCATATAAATTTTATTTAAATTTATTAACATTAAAAGTATTTATTTTTTTAAAAAAAACTGAGAAAAAAATTGTTCAAAAAATTTATTGGTATACGAAAACTTTTTTCCTGTTTGATAAAAGTCATAAGTGTCTATATAATAATGATAGCTACACATCTCCTCTATAATCCTAATTAATTATATTATCTCAGCAAGCTCTAAATTTTTTCTAATAAGGGGTAGAACCAAGGCACCCATTGGCCAAAATAAATTTGGCAATTTTTTCAATGAGCTTTTTTAAGAAAAATTTCTTTTCTAACAGACACTGCACTATACTGTAAGTTCAAAAAGATCATTGAAAAATGACAAAGTTGAGTTTTGTCTATAAATGCATTGGTTTAACTTTCATTAAAAAAATAATCCTAAATTTCAAAGGTAAAATTATATGTTTAAATCATAGAGGAGATGTGTGGCGATGATTATTATATAAACAATTATGACTTTTATCAATCAGGAAAAAAGTTTTTCTATACCAATATATTTTTTAAACAATTTTTTCTTCAGTTTTTTTTTGAAAATAAATACCCTTAATGTTAATCAATCCAAATAAAATTAATATGAGATGTGGACATGGGCGAGTGTTATTATAATCCAAAGACAGAATCAAATTATCTTGATTACTTTTTGAGTTATGGCCGAAATGAACATTTTTTCTAAACAAGCTAGTATCTTTTATATAATATTACGTGCTTACAATTATATTATTTTATATATGAACATAGCAAACAAATCCTTACCATACAATTTCTCCCATGTTAATTTTCGACTGTTTCGTAGCATCATTTAGGTATCCAATGAAACGGTCGCGTAGTTTTTTAGTCTCGGTCTGTTTAGCGTTTATAATCGGAGTGTATTTCAGCATTTTGTCATCGGGCAGTTTGCAGAACAGGTTAACTTTCTCATAGAATTGAATAGTAGGACTCTCCAGCATCACGTCACGGATTTTTGGTTTAAGGTAACCTGCCCATTTCATGCCGGTTACTATATCCCAGAAACTGCAATGTATAATTAAAATACGATTCATTATAATATTATTTATTATGTAAATACTTGTTTACCGCACACGTCGACGTCTACCACCCCCTAATCGTCAATTTATACATTTAACCTATTCTCACTTTCACTAACCAAACATACATGTATAGTCTGTGTAAATCATTTTTGATGATTTTTTAATGAAGTTTAAATTAAATTAATACAGGTAATGTTATATATAATGTTATTTATATAATAAATAAACTAGTATTTAGCCAGTCCACCTTCATTATTAATGGCCGCTTCGATGCGGTTCGGAAAGGAGTTGACCACCTTTTTCAGGTATTGAACTGACAATGATTCCCACTTTTCCCAAACTCTTGCTATCAATTCCGTTCGGTTTCGGGGAATTGGGGTTTCAAATACCGATTCTTGAAGTACACCCCAAACCGGTTCAATAACATTAAAATCCGGAAAATTCTCACTCCATTCGTCTTTAGTCTAGGAGTTCTCAAATCTTGACTCAATTTTCTCGATAACGGGCTTAATAATGTGTGCGGGAGCCGAGTCCTGGAGAAAAGTGGCCTTTCTTATATTTGGGATCAATTTGTTATTATCGATAGTTTTTAAATATATGGAAAGGATTTTTTTAGATACACTTTCCCGTTAATTTTCTCATTTTTCGGACACACGTATAACTCAGTTACACCGTTTGCTGTGATACCGCCCGCGATCATAATTTTTACGGGAAATTTCGTGACACCAATGATTGTAAAGTTATTATGCAATGTACGGATTTTTGTATTATGTCGATTAGGCATTGGATTCAATTCAATAACACATTCATCGGTAAATAACATTTTCCCGAAGTGCCTCTCCGTGTCGGTTGCGATCACAATAACCGTCCAATTGTGCGGTCAGAGCAAAGGCCAGTCGGTCTCTGATATTCTTTTGCGATAATAATGGCTTAACTTTTAATTTCCGGGCAATGTTACCCCATTTTGCCGACTTAGCGTATTTTTGGACACAACGCCAAAAAATAGTTTTGTTGTGATTGCAATAATCATTGGTAATATTGAGAAATGTTGCACATTTTCTTACTGATGCTCCCAATCTGTCTTTCATTCGTCCAGTGATTCGCCGTTTTGTATTCGAAAATATATTCGACTTTTAATTATTGAGTTCTTGTTATAACGGTGTTTGAAATCCTGTCTTTCTGTCCACACTTTGACGGTATTTCGGGTGACTTTCATTTCTTTTATAATATCACAGATTTTGAATCCCTGACCACTCATTAAATGAATTTGTTTTCGATTGAACTCTTTTTGTGTATACATTTTAATAATAATTAATTTAAATGATTATTAATTAAAAATTAAAAGCGTTATTTGAGTTTTGGACACATTTTAACACAATTTACGCATCAAATTATGCGATCATCAAAAGTGCTTTATACACAGTTTACATGTAATATACCTAAACATTAAACACTTTAGGGCAGGCGTTGATAGAATTAAATGTGATACAATTATTTATTATAAGATTATATTTAATTAGTATTACATTGTTGATTAAGTCCTTTGCATTTTAGTTGTAGTGTTTTAAATTATAATAAAAATTACTTGCAAGTTAGAATTGGTATAAAAATTAATCAAATACAGCATCTAGAATCTAGATTTAACATTTTGAACAATGTCAGCCAGAGACACTATGGTCCTGTTCAAAATCTAGTATATTCATTTATTATAATTTACATATAAATTAAATGTTAATCAAGCGTTTGATTTTACGGCTGCTATTTTTCAATTTGTAAAAATATCTAATAAATAATACTGTATAACATATTTGAACATACAATATAAAGAAAATTATATGATGAAATACAATTTATTTAATGAAATACAATGACTACTCACAGTCTACCCGAGCCTTTAGTATCGCCCAATTCATTGCACTTTTCTTTAATGATTTCCAACTTTTCCGGTGCTTCGACTCCATTGCCATATCTCTCATACTTTGTTGATATGATATCAATGGCCGCCTCTTCCTCTTCCTGTCCACAATATATTACACCTAAGAGTCATATAATTATTTTTAATTAGTAGTTTGCCTATACACAGTAGTTAATGTATAATAGTTAATTTCGAGTAAGTATTCATAAGTTAAATAATAGTTTTAACGTTAATTAAGTGTCTGAATATTTTATAATAATTAAATATTAATATTAGCTTAAACACACATTTGGACATATATAATCATAAACGGCATACATATTGCCCACAATTAGGACCCGTAACGTACCGACTCTAGCACTTGGATGAAAATGACCATCACCTTACTCTCTCTTCCTCTCTCTCTCTCTCTCCTCACTCTCACACAAAATTACAGATTGTTAGCAAATCTATGACCCAAGTTAAATTTTACCTAACACTCGTGTTTTTAGTAGTATTGTAGAATAATGTTATTTATAAGTTTATCTAACTAATATATTACTTTGTAATAATAAATGTTATTTATAAATCCCCTCTTATAATTTAATATAAATTTCACATACTGTATTATTAACAAAATACCACCATTTTGGTGGCCTTATTAATAATACATATTAATTAAGTATATTATATAAAAATATTTGAATATATATGTACATACCAATTATAGACAATATAATAAAGAGATTCATCTCTAAGAATTTAATTATTATAAAATATTCAGACACTTAATTAACGTTAAAACTATTATTTAACTTATGAATACTTACTCGAAATTAACTATTATACATTAACTACTGTGTATAGGCAAACTACTAATTAAAAATGGTAATATGAAACATTTGGTTTTATTTTAATTAAAACCAAATGCGTCATTTTTATAATTAAATAAAATTTTTCAGTTTTAATTACATATATTGGCTTAATAAGAAATTAACGGGACTTTTTTTGTAACGTAATTGTAACTGGCCCGACACCGGGAAGTAGATAATCACGTGCCAAAAATTCGGGTTGTGTCTGATCCGCGATTTCCACATATGGAATTGTTGGTCAACTTATGCTTGTGATGAATAGATCACTAGTAATGTGAAAATCCTTACTCTGACTCTAAATATGAATAGTAACTCCTGTTTTAAGCTAATTATTAATGTTTGAAATCTCATTATGAGTAATATATCCAAATTGTATTGAAATGCTATAAAATATATTCAGTCTTGATTTATCCCTTAAACAGTTTGTTTGCCTTTTTGTAATAAAAGCATTTCTCATTGAATACCGCGTGTATTTCATTGGAGGTCTTTTGTCCTAAAAAGTAGGACACGGGACCGCTCTTACGAGCCCTAAAAAGGCAGTAAACTCTAGGGATCGTCCGGAAGGACCCAAGACTCAACCGCAACAACAGGACTACTAATTGTAGTCAATTAAACGGTAAGAGGACTTCTAATCTGAGAAGTCCTATCAGTGGCCAACGCCTGTTCACCGCTCCCAAGTCTCTACCATCTACACCAACGACGGGTGAACAGCAGCCCCACCTCTTAAGACCAATTATTTCATCACATGCTTATACTGGAAAATAATTTGTGACCATTTAAAACCGAATGAGCATTTACTCAGAGCATGTAATTACATACATACATAAAATATGCCTATTTTTGGCCTATTTTTAGACCACTTATTTCGGAAATTACATATAGGTCTTTGACCGAGAAGTTCTCTCATACCCACCATATACTCCTGTTATTCCTCTATCAGATGACTATTAAAATCATTCTCTGCAATCATGCTTTAGTGTTAGAAATTGCAAAACAAAAATAGTGGCCGAAACTGATTTCACTCACTTTGTTGTCTCACAAAACCGCCATTATATTTGGGAATTAAATGAAACTTTGTCCGATTGATGGCCAATAGTTGCCGATAATTTCGGCTATTACATAATTTGAATTAATTTATATAATCACAATAAAAATGAATTTTCTATTTTTTATTAAATCAGTCCCGTCAATTTCCTATTAAGCCAATAAGACTTAATTATATTATGTATTTAATATTGTTTGTAGTCGTGAATTGTTTTATAAAAAATTTTATTTTTTTAAAATTTTATTTAAAACAAAATATAAAACTTCAATCTATTAATTAAAAAATTACACAAATAATAAATTATTCTAAATTAATTTAATAGTAGATTAAATGACAAAACTTGTGTCTATGGATGTGTATAATGCATTATATTGAATGAGAGAGAGAGAGAGAGAGAGAGAGCGAGCGAGAGAGTAAGGTGATGGTCATTTTCATCCAAGTGCTAGAGTCGGTACGTTACGGGTCCTAATTGTGGGCAATATGTATGCCGTTTATGATTATATATGTCCAAATGTGTGTTTAAGCTAATATTAAGTGTGTGATTAAATGTACAATTGGTGAATGAATGACAATTTAGATTAAATTTAAAAAAAGTAATTAACTCAAGTTAATTACTTGATTATAAATATATCATTTAAGATATTATATACAATGATTGACTCTCTCTCTCACTCTCTCTCTCTCTCTCTC